TTTGGTAAATTAAAGATAATTATATGATAATTCTTTAAAGTTTTAAAGTTAGCAAACTACTTGATAAAAGAGGTTTATAAAAAAGTTTGAGGCCTTTCATGAAATCACAATTATTGAAAGTCAAAAAGGTTAAGGTGAAGACTAAACTTTGTCTTCTCTAGAAAACTATCACTCTTCCTTCATTGTTAGATTAAGGTTCTTATGTTGTGAAGAGTGTGGATATTAATTGCTTCCATAGTAATTTCCTACCGTAAGCTTTTTTTGGAGATCATTAAACTCATAAAATGTTCATAGTAGTCTCTTATAGTATGTGGCTAAACACTTGTAGTGGCATACCATGCCTTTTTTCATTAATAAAATGAAAGTCTTTTAACCTTAAAAAAAATTACATTAGTTTTGATAAGGTTAAAAATTGTTGCAGGTGTGATCAAAAAAAGATTATATTGCAATTTTATAATCAATAGATTTCTCCAACACATATTGATCTAGTGCTATATATAGGTCACAAAGAGCTTGATGTTACCTAAGAAATCTAAATTTGTTCTCATAAATGTAGTGAGATGGTGAAGGTGAAATCCTTCGCTATATGCAAATCTTCTAGCCAGGAATGTGACATGGTTAGGTTAGCCTTTTAATTCTTGCGCCAGGCCAGCAGTTCCCTATGTTCCAATTATTCAAGCGCAACTTAAGTTTGACTGATGAACTACTAGTCTAAACCTGCTACAGCTAGTTTAGTCGGGTTACTTTATTTCTTTAGCCGGAGTAGATATTCAAGAGTAGTATTCAAGCAAGAGTTGAAATTGAAAAATAGAGGAACTCCGAACCTAACTTCCTCTTGCTTGATTCTGGATTGAGCTAATTTAAGAAAGTGATCTTATCTTGTTCAATTGGTCGGACAATTGCTTTTTTTCTGCATGTGATGTTGCTTAAAACATCTAAATTAGTGCCAGAATGTCCTGATAAAGTAAATTCGTAAGAATTGTCTTAGGCAAAACTGTTTCAACGATCCCCAACTTTATTAACATGTCCAATTCAAGAACTTGAGCTTAATCTTAATCTTACTATATTAAAAATTTACTTAAAAAGCATGCTTTGTAGATTGTTAACCGCCCACGCGGCCGTCCCAAATTAATATAATCCAACTTTAATCCATAAAGTTACTTTTTGAATTAGACATGTTACTGAATTATCTAAACCCCTAACTTAAGTATCTGATTAAATTATTCATTAATCAGTTGACCTCTTTGTTTACACCGAAAGATACAAACATGCATTGGGTGCCTTTTTATCTCCTACGTGTACCATTTAAAAAAATATAACCCAAAAAAAAAAATTCCGAAAGAAAACAAGCAAAGAAGAATTCCACCACTAAAAGAACACGTGTCTTGTCTAGAGAGGCCCAGGAAAAAAGAGATACGGCTAGTGTCAAAGTCATGAATGATTTACACGTGTCCGTAAATGAACACGTGTCGCAAACTCACTGCCGTGTTTCGCCTTTGTCAAAATGCAAGACTTTTTGGAGTATCCACTTAGATTTGAGAGTGTCGGGACCCACTTTGAAATTTTGTATGGAGATGACATGGCAAGAGAACGCGTTTGGTTAATCAAAGCTTAAATTGCGCTGAGCTGGAATGAATGCAACGCGTGGGAAAAATAAATAGTCCAATAGGAGAATGCCACTTAAAGAAAATGACTAATAAAACTAATTAGTTGCACTTTTTCTACTTCTTTTTGTTTATTTTCTTTTATCTTTTTGTGTTTGATACAATTAGAATTAGTGCACTTTTGTTTTTCCTCTCTTCCTCTTTTGGATTTTTATTTTCTTCTCATTTTGGGTGTTGTCATTTATAACATACATTGAATTGAACCATAGTCTCTCTCTAGGGGGAAAAAATAAAAAAAGAAAAAGGAAAAGGACTTTGATTTTTCATCATCAAAAAATATTAGTTAGGGTAAAACCCATGCCAAACTCATTTTTAGGCTTTTATATATGTTCCAAAATAACAATACATACAGTGGGAACTATTTTCTATATCTAATTGCATGTCAATGAAGGAATTTTTAATTAAGCATAACCATAATCTACCTCAAGTGTTCCCCAGCAACCCCCACCCCCTTTTTTTTTTCTTTTTACTTTGTGAGCTTCATTTACTACTTTATATTTGAAAAACATTGAATTGTATACAAAAACACAAAAACAATGTATGTACTTCTAAAATTTATTCAAGACAATGGAAAATTACCTAGATTAATGAAATTCTCCAATTAGTTAATAATTTTCTTGTTAACAATATCTAAATATACATCAACTATTACCATTCACGTATAATCATATATGATGTTAAAAAAAACAAAATTACAAATGAATTGAATAATTATTAACTAAAAAGAAAGAGGAGGAATTCATTTTACCCTCTCTATTCCAAGATATTGAGCTTGAGAGTATGTAATTAATGGCGACAAAATTAGTTGAGTTTGATGAACATGAATCGTCACGTAAAGTATATGGGATATTCTTGTTGGATATATCATGCAAAATAATTTTAAAAAATTGTCACTGTGATAAAATATCCCAATCTTGATCTACTACAAATAGAAGATAAAAAAAAATTTCTGCCTATTTCATTACCTAATTACTAGTTTTTGGTTTTTTTTTTCAAATCAATATTGTAAGTTATAATTTCAAATCCCAATTAATTGATACCCTATTTGTGACACATACTTTTTTCTATAACTGATATATACTCATAAAACAAAAAAAAAAAAGCACAAATTCACATGCCTGAAAACGTGTGCAAGTTGAGGGATTTATTTATTTATTTACATGAATTGAAATTTTTAATTCATTTAAAAAATTATAAATTCAAACTAGGGAAAGGAGGTTGGGATTTTATAGGTTAATAATATGATCTCCCTTTTTTATAATTCAAGCTTAATGAATTTTCATATGTACTTAAAAAGATTTTATATCAGAATTCTCTTTTCTCGTAGATTAAAATTATATATATATATATATATATAGATATATACATAAAATAAGTTTTATTATATAAACAAAAATTACGGTAGAACCTAACATATTTAGTCAAAACTACACTTCACCTTTACCACTTGAGCAAAAACCCAAATGGATAAGATGTAACTTTCATTATAGTAACAAGATTAGGATGTGGTTGTGAATTTTGGGTAGGTTTCTGACAATTTTGTTCGTCCTTTATTTCTGGGTTTGGTCTTGGCCGAAAGATTCAACAGAAAAAAGCCCCCCAATGCATAGAGTTAAGTTGCAGTAGCATCAAATCAGCCGGGACACTTTAATCCTCCATCCGACCAATGAAATCCTTCCACTTGACAAAAGCAGCCAAACACACCTAGTTGCACAAAGTCTCCATCCTACCCTACACAACAGAATCAAAAGAAAATGCCAAAGAAAAAGAAAATCTCAAGGCCACAAGAACTTGTGGCTGAGAATCGAACCATGATACTGACGTGGCATCCACCTCTCATTTAAACGGATCAAAAACATTAACGATGCAGCACTTCGTTTCCAATGCCAACAAAGAAAAATACCGCTCTCCTTATTTCCTAAACCCACCAACAGAAAACAACAAAAAAAAAAAAAAAACCTACGAAAT